AGCTATCTAGGGGGCCTCACATTGCAGGAGGTGTTAAACGATTGTGAAATGGTTATATAAGATTGAACCCCCATATTAGTCATATTAACCATTGAACCCAATACTTATATGATGGTTAAATGATGGTTTAAATGGTGGTTTAAATTGTGGTTAAAGTTTGATTAAATCATGGTGTTACGATGGCTTTGTGATTCATGGTTAAATGATGGTTTAATTGCTGGTTAATAGGGTTTAGGATGAGGGTATATAACTATCCCAAAATGAAAGTTCAAGCCAAAAATGAAACAAGGTAGCGTACTAAGTGTATAAGTAAAGATTTGACCATCAACTTAAGGGAATTCCACAACTCAATCAAAGCTCTTCTCTTCTTGACTCGGTTTTAAATCTGGGAAATCGGTGATGTGAGGAGGCCTGTGACACTCCCAAATCTATTCGAATCTCTAAGTTTCACAGAAAAGCGTTCCTGTACCTTGGAACGTTTCACGACTGGCCAACGCTTAGTCACAGCCAAGCCGGAGTGCTTCAAGGATTGGAAGACCGCGCTGAATCTATGGTTTTGAATTGAAACAGTCCACTAGTCTTGCACGTGTTCCTGATTTACAAGATAGCTGTGGTTTAAAGTCGTCTGCCCAGAATGACATGGTTTCATACCGGCCCAAATGGCCACATGTCCACATGTACCCCATTTCTTGAGCCACCCTGATATGGAGATGTTCTAAGCTTGGGGTCCTCCTTTTCTACTTCCTCAGTTTTTGTGCGTTTATTGGCTCAATGCCCCCGGCTCAATGCTGTTGCCATCCCAATCTCTCCAAAATACAGTAATCCCAAAAAAATCGAGTATATACATCGTTTCCCCAGGTTGGGGAAAATCGCCCAACTAAATGGAGGTTACTAGCTGGGAAAATCATCGAACAAAAAAAGGTGGATTTCCCTCTTCAATTCAACCTTTCAGCCATTTCAAAACCATTTATAGATGGATTTTCCCATATTTTTCCGGCTATAAACCTCCATTTACCATGAATTTCCCAGATTTTCTCCCTGACTTCCCATGGTTTTCATAAGGATTTGTCCAGCCATCAGGACACCGTTGCGGCTCTCGCCCTTCGGAGTTCTTCCTCTTCCTCAAGGCCCGCCGGCTGCGCGGCAGCTTCAGCCGCATCGAGGATGACTTCCAAAAAGTCCAAAACCACCTGGGCACAGAAACTGGTGACCTTTTCATGGGTATATACTTATATATATATATATACGTATATATATATGTATATATATATATACATGTATGCGTGTGTATTCTTATATATACATGTATAGATGATGGGAATATGATGATATATATATTATATATATATAATAACCAAATATGATTATCTATAAGTAGTCCATAGTTTTCTATTGATGGGGATATGTCATGGTGAAAAATAAATGTCTAGAACTAACCAAGTAGCATTATCTATAGGGATTCCCATAATACATTTTGGTCATGAAGAGAAAGAGAGAGAGAGAGATATATATATATACATATAATGGGAATATCATGGTTTATAACTAACCAAATATAATTAGCTCTAGATAATCCATATTTATAGGATATAAATGGTGTTTGAATGGGTTTGACCATGAAAATGGTGATTTCATGGGATATTGATGGGAATATAATGGCTTATAACCAACCAACTGCAACTATAATTCCTTCACCCATTCATATGAAACACCATCCAGAAACCATGGTGGATAAAGGGGGTTGACAAATATACATATATATATATACACACACATATATATATATATATGGGAATTGTGGTGTTTAATATGAAGACAGAATGGTATTGCAAAAACTGTTGGATTCATGGTTAAGATTAACGTGGGGTTCACCCAATGCCATATACAGTTACCATTTGGGGTTGGTTGACAACCCAACCATTTATGGTATTGGGCTCATTGGCTTGGCCACGTGACTGCAATCTATAGACCATGGGTAGAGTTTATAAATGCAACTTACTGTACAGTCGCAATGCTTTCACAGGGTCTGGAAGACGATTTTCCGAGGATGTGGCTGTCAATCTGGGTTCCGTATCTCAAATTTTGGGGCTGTAATTTAGTTGGCAATATGATTTTGGTGGATAAGATATCCCCATGTTTATGGCTGAAACAGTCCGAAGGTTGGAACATCATCTTCCATATGGGTGTGTCTAAAATTCCAATGGATTATTCTCACGATTCACATTGGAACGGCCATTTGGAGGGTGCTTAGAGGGCTTAGAGGATCATCCCAGGGTACCTGGTTATCCCATATATATATACCCTCTGGTAATGACTAACATAGCTATTGAAAATGGCCCATAGAAAGTTCGTTGATTTACCGAACTTCAGGATGGTGATTTTCCAGTTCGCAACTTTTCCGCCAAAGCCACAGCTGCACCATCCAGCCGCATCACAGCAGGGACCAAACTCAGCACGGTGAGGCTCCAAGGCACCCATGTCTTGGACAAATCTCTACTTGGTGATTTCGAAATTCCATGATATATGTCCCATTTGTTGTTTCTATTCTATTATATATATGTATATGTATATATATATGCGTATATATATATATATGCGTATGTATATATATGTGTGTATGTGTATATATATATGCGTATGTATGTATGTATGTATGTATATATATATGCGTATATATGTGTATATTCCACGTTATCACATAAAATATCACCACTTCAGTTGGTTAAATCCCCATTGGTTACTTGGGGTGCAGGACTGAGGTGAAATAATGGATATAACAATGGTGAGTTCATCTCTATAAGTTGGGATATGATGCCCCTCGCCTCTAACTGGTTATTCACTTATAACTGGAACGGCACACATACATACTGTTGCTAGATGCATCCCTAACTTTCTGCTGTTGAGTCCTGAGTTGGAAGCCCATTCTGCGTGGTTTTCCGCATTTCTCTGCGTGAAAGTACAGGCTTCCCAATGGGGCCCAAGGCCGTACGAGGCCGAAAAGCAGCAAAAAAACATCGACGAAGGTGCCAAACTTGGCCGGATGATTTCCAGTAAGTGGATGCAACCAATTTGAAGTGCAAAATGGGCTTCCCGATGGTTCCCGGGTAGAAAAGTGAGTCCCTCCTATCTGACGAACCATAATCTGTCTCATCCTTTGGGGACATACATTTTGCTACCACTGGTACCACTATTCATTGTTCAGCGGTTAAATTGGTCAAATAAGTTAAATCCATACTTGTGCTTGTTAAATCACTATTTCTGGTACTCAAATCCGAATGTTTGACGCAGAAAACGGTACCGTGTCATTCATCCATTCATCCACATCCATTCCATTGATCCAGGGTTCCCTGCGCCCCCAGCGAACGAGCGCCAGTCAAGCGGTCTGTGCCATCTGGACCTTTACCATCAATGGGGATAGCCATCAACCCAGTTTACCACTTGTGATGAATCAAATTGACCTCATGGCGATGTCGTCATCGCATGGTTTACGGGGATCCACAAATGGCATCAAGTTTTGGGGCCATCCACTGGATGGAAGTCTGGATTTCATGAGGGCAAAGATTTAAAAAAAAACTTCCCAGAGATCCTGGAAATTCTTGGCAGTTCCAGGACAAATTGAAAATTCGAAATTGGAAAGTTCAAAATAACCTCACGCATACCCAAGTAGCTAAGATGAGCTAAGTTAGAAGGTGACCATCCACCACTTTGACCATTTTCGGGCTGGAAAATTGGGGGAGAAAACCCAATACTTTCTCTGAAGTTACTCTCTGGTAATTTAACATAGCTATTGAAAATGGTCATAGAAATAGTGGATTTACCTACTAAAAAATGGTGATTTTCCATAGTTATGTAAACGTTTACCAGAGGGTATCTGCTTGTTGCTGTCTATCCTAGACATATTTGTCACATGGATTGCACATGCACAGCGAAATCGCCAACTGGAAAATGGTCATCCATTCCGCCATGGGAATCCGAATTCAATGGCTATTTAAATGATGGATGGATGACCATCCCCCAATATGGGTATATATAATATATGTCCATACATATGTACATATATACATTGAGGGCCCACCATCAAGAATGCAGTTTTCATATGCGGATGCGGCCCCAAAAGCGGGCCCTGGTGGCAGCGCCATTTGAGCACAAGCCGACTGACAGCCAAACGCATTCTCCACTACCGAACTGTGAGGAAACCAATTGCAATGGAAAATGTTTGGGAAGGCATGTGGCTCGAAAACAAGCAAGGGGTGCAGAACCCCATCTGGACAAACTCCAAGGAGACCATGCTACCCGAAACTATTGCTCTTCAAACCCGCACGTAAATAAAGGATCACGCCGCTCCCATCTGTGATTACGCCCCTCGTACGTCCGATTACGCCCCTCAAACCCCATGTAAATAAGGGATTACGTCCCTTTGAGCGCTTTGGCCGTATACTATAGTATATTCCAGAGCGCGCGGACGGGATGCACGGCAACAATTGCACGCCACACTTCTCCTAAGATGCACGCAAAACAGCTTCCGGACATAAGCGTTGTAAAGGCGGCACGCTGCCAGAGCGCAAGAGGTTAGCATGGCTTCTTGCGGCACCGGAAAGTGGACCCTTTTCACTGATTGAAAACAGCTTCTGCGCCATGTCCCCTCATAGTATATACACATATAATCCATCCTTTGACCGTGACACATATGAGTTTCCTCACTGGAATCGATTTGTCAGCAAGGTGTCGAGCCGACTAGTTGAAGAATCAGCAGGGAGGAAGAAGGGTGGCAGCAACATTGGGAACTTCACAGCACCATAATTATCATAAAAAGATACGAGATTTTGACGCAAGTTTTGCATGAGTGCACAACAAAGAGGCCCCACGACTTCTGAATACTTCAGTAGTTACAGTAATGGGGTAGAATACTCAATCAAATACTTCAGTAGTTAACTTCTGAATACTAAATCTGGGTCAACTCACTCAGTAGTTACAATCCCATCTATATCTGGCAGAGGCCCATTTAGACTGAGCTTACGGGCACAGCACCATGCCGTGGAAACGCGGATACCAGCCTGACGCGCAGACGCACACTCAATAAAAATATATATATGTATATATATACATAGGTATGTGTATATATCGTGTATTATATATATATGTGTGTGTGTGTTTCTGTGTATTATATAGATATATGGATCTGTGTATATATGTATGTATATATATATATGTATATATATATATATGTATGTATGTATATATATATATATATAATTATATCTATATATATATATACATGTGTATTAATATATAGATAGATATAGATATTGCAAGTGAGACCGCGTTGTTTTTGTCTCATGTAAATGACTGGACGTCTCTGCCTATGCTTTTCTTGGTGATTTTGTGGCGTACGTGGCAGGTCATAAGAACACCCAAAAGAGTCCCATAGGTCTCTACATTGGCTCAGTACATTTCAAACCCTGGTTCTCTTCAATGACCCCGTACTCACGTGGTAATCAAAATTGGATGCAAAAATGTGTTGAACCAAAACTCCTCATGGGTTTAGACTTTGCTGGTTAAGATTTGTTGCTGAAGATATCATTCAAGCCCAATCTGGTGGTTAAAATCTGGTCTAAATCTTTCGAAATCCCACATGTTTTCCTGACTCCACAATTCAAAAATAGGGTACCCCAAAAATCCCATGGTTCCTATGGTTCATCATCATTTTCCACTTCGGCCTCGCACGACGGCCGCTTCGGCTGGGCTTTCCACCTCTGGTAATCTGTGCCACACGGTGGAAAACCACAATTTTGAATAAGTAAATCATCGATAAATAACTTTAAATTGGCAATAATTATGTTCAATTACCAGAGTGTATGTCGACAACAAAAAATAGTCGTCCAAAATGGAAAGTTCAATTGGGTCACAATTTAATAATGTAACCATGTAACCTGTATGAACCCATATGTTTTGTTCCCCGATACATTTTCGCAGCATTGGCTAAATAGGAATCATGCATCAAAAATTGCTACTTGAAGACCCTCAACCCATCCAAAAAACTACATGGGTGGAAGCAAATCACCGCATCTATGACATCTGTGGTGAAAAATCCCACAGTGATCAAGTCATGTTTCCTTGGGACACTTTTCACTGTTCACTGGTCGTTCCAGAAATTGGAGACACAATTTCAAAGTCCATTTTTAGAGAAGGAAACCAACAAGGCTGAAGTCTCCCTAATTTTTGAGTATTTTTGACACATAGCCAAATTTTTCAAATAGTTGTCGCTCCACGTGTTTCGGATTTCGAGACTTTGGTATTGATAGCGAGCCTGGTCCCATATTTCAGGTCACTGCAACCAATCTCTCACCTCCAAGTTGTCATCCATGTCCCGTTTGCGGGAAGCCTTGCACACCATGGCAGGCTATGGCAGGGGGGAGAGGAACTGAACCAATCCAGCCGGGACCCCTGGAACCAGTTCAAATCCTGGCAGTTGTGTTTCGGACGTATGGATCATGTCAGGCAGATGGGCTGAAGTTATAACCAAAAATGTTGTCTGAATTATATGAGAGGTTCGGATGTAAACTAATATGCTTCCAGTAGTACCGCACAAGGCGGTGGCGGAAGTTTCAGAATAGGAAACCTATAGGAGAGCTTGGTTGTTGTGAATCACGGGTGGCAGAGCGAATCCACTGATGGACTGAAAGGTGGTTGGAGCTGTGTTCTTTGGAGTGGCTACAATGGTTGCAGTGGCCACCTGGCCGGCCACCTCACCCACAACTGCTGGATGTAGTGTGGTGTAGCGCAGCTGTATTTGTAGCTGTAGCGTAGTGGAGTTGTATTTGTGGTGTAGTGTAATTAGTGTAGTGCAGTTGTAGTTGCATTTTGTGGTGGTGTATTGAGTGTAGTGTATGTAATGTAGGGTAGTGTCATGTAGTGTAGTCTAGCCTAGTGTGGTGTAAAGTAGCGTAGGTGTAGTTGTAGCTGTAGTTGTAGTTAGTGCAGCGTAGTGTAGTGGAGTGGACTGGACTGGACTGGAGTGGAGTGTAGTGGAGTGGAGCGTAGCGGAGTGGAGTGTAATGTAGTGTAGCGTAGTGCAAATGCAGTTGCAGTTGTAGTTGTAGTTGTAATTGGAGTTGGAGTTGGTGGAGTGGAGTGGAGTGTGTGTCGTGTCATGTCGTGTCGTGTCGTGTAATGTAATGTACTATAATGTAATGTAATGTAACGTAATGTAATGTAATGTAGTGTAGTATAATGTAATGTAGTGTAGTGCAGTTGGAGTTGGAGTTGGAGTTGGAGTTGTGGTTGCAATTGTAGTTGTAGTTGTAGTGTAATGTCATTGAGTGTACTGTAGTGTAGTGAAGTGGAGTGTAGTCTAGTGTAGTGTCATTAGTGTAGTGTAATGTAGTGCAGTTGTAGTTGTAGTTGTAGTGGCAGTGGCAGTGGCAGTGGTAGTGGTAGTGGTAGTGTAGTATAGTGTAATGTAATTGAGTGTAGTGTAGTGGGGTGGGGTGTAGTGTAATGTAGTGTAGTTGTAGTTGTAGTGTAGTGGCGTGGAGTGTACTGTAGTGTAGTAGTTGTTGTCGTTGATACTGCGACAAAACCCGCACATTTTGCTCACTTGTGGCAAGGTGCAGAATCCCTTGCGCCTGCCATGCAAAACCACATCTGAACTTTCAAAAGTGGTCCGAGCATGTGTGTTTTTTTACATTTTGACTTGGAAATGTGCTTCGCACCACAACGGCATGCACTTTTGGGACATGTCAACTTGCAAAAGTGTTCCGAACCTGGTGTGCTTTGTACGTTTTGACCTCGGAACGTGCTTCGCGCCACAGCGGCGTGCACTTTTTCGACATCTCAACTTCCAAAATGGTCCGAGAATGGTGTGCTTTGTACATTTCGACTTGGAAATCTGCTTCGCGCCACAACGGCGTGCACTTTTTCTACATCGCAACTTCCACAAGTGGTCCGAACATTGTGTTTTGTACATTTTGGCTTGGAAATGTGCTTCGCGCCAGAATGGCGTGCAACTTTTCTCTCTCATCTGAACACATGGCTCCGCACCCGCCGCTTTAGCGAGCCTACTTTTCGACCCTCCGGAGCCACAAATCATTGGAAGAACACATTGTTACGCGACTTTGCTACCTTTTCGCGCACCTGCACCTTTCTCTTCTCTGATCTTCTCTCTTCTGCTCTTCTCTTCTCTGACTCTTCCCACCTCTGCTTTTCCATCTGTCCATACTGTCGGATGTTTGACTTCTAAACTTCCTTCGACTACCCATTTTGTTGGATATTTTGCGGTTCTGGTTCCTACATGTTCCTACCCAGACTAAAAGCAGCTTTGAATCATACACAGGAACAACCAGCACCCAAATATCAGCAATGTTCACACATTGCGCTGGTATTTAGTTTCTACTGAGAATAATGTGTCAAGGGATAGTTGCTGGGTTTGAAAGAATGCTTTACTTGATCTCTCGGATCATCAGGTACTTTACTACCTCTGTGCCACTCAGTCAATATATCAATATATGCAGATTTAGTCCTCATTTCTGGGGGATTTAAACTCTATCTGACTACCTGTGATTGCATCGCCCCGATATACTAGTCGCCAAATGTTGACTGGTTACGTCCTCATCATATGCCACAAACACAAGTTGCTGTTCCGATATGTTGATATGTTTTCCTTTTTTTGCCACAGCATATGCAAGAATAGTTCATGGAATTCTTGGTTACATCCCCGTCATTTTACTATCAATCATGTCAACCCTATATTAACCATTGAAGGTGCTTCACTGGCAAATCATCGAGATTGTTGCAGTTACACCCCATCATTCACCATCAACAATTCAACAACCATGTTTTGCTGGCAAGTCAGCAATGACTCCAAGCATTTTCACATGGTTCTGTCTGCAACTTTAGGTTTTTCAAAAAGTTGCATCCCATGGTCGAAAAAAAATCCTTTGCGCCTGGGCTGAAGCATCTAAATCTATCAGCACGCCTTCGCTCAAGGCCTGCGAAATATCCGCTTGTACTGGGAAAAACTGGCTGATGAAAATGTGGTGTTTGATCGGTTCTTGGCCAAATTTATGGCAAACACTGTGGATATCATTAATATCATTGATATCTGGTTGGTGGTTTTAACCATCTTGAAAAATATTAGTCAGTTGGGCGTACTATTCCCAATATATGGAAAAATAAAAAATGTTCCAAACCACCAACCAGATATCATTTGGTTCACATCTACAGCAATATGTCCTAAAAATGTTCCAAAGATCATCAAACGGGATGTTTTCACCTGCAGAATTTGACCAAATCCACACAAAACGAGGTTCTGTTGATCAATGGGGAACCAATCCGCAACAGCCCGGGTGACTATGTGACATCTCATCAAGTACATAGCATCGGCCACAACAACATTGGATGTTAGAATCTGTTAGAACATGGCAACGTCACCTCACCAAACAATGAATGAACCAAGAAATTCCGTGCTTAGTTTTCTTTCGAAATTTGGGAGACGTTCAACCCTCCGAAACGTGGGATTCATTCCAGGAAACCTACCATGAGTTTTGGGTCACAAATTTGGTTGCCGGGATCCAAGGCCTCCAGGTTCAAGGCTGGGGTGTGGACATTTCCAGACTCACCAGGCATTTAGAAACATGTCCATGGAGGCTTCAGTTGCTGCCTTCAGCTGATCCATTGATGTCAATGCCGGATCAACCCTGACCATCATAGCAATATTGGGAATGTTGGTACCCCGGTATCCCCCATTAAACTGTGGCTTTAGTATACTCCAACACCCCCTTTCCACTCCATTTTTCAAGGCGCGTTTCGAAATTCCAGGCCTCAACAGGCACCACAAATGGTGTTGTAAAATGTACTTCGGTTCACCCCTGGAATGTTCCTATTGGCCAAATCCCAAGACATTGGATAGACCATGAAGTGGACCTTCTCGCGATCCCATTTCGCGGCATAGGTTTGGGTGCCACCATCGAAATGGCTGGGATTGCAAAACCACCTCAGTTGTGGGGTCTTGACAATAATTGGGACAAGAAATATCAAGAAATTGGGTTGCTGTGACAGGAACCCCGGGAACCCCCTTTGTCTTTCTCAGTAAAATCAAGGATTTTTCCATGGATTTCTTGCATTATTGCCCTTGATCCAGTTCTGGAGATGAATCGTAACTTCAAAAGGATGGAGGCCAATGGAATGTTTGGATGTTTCATCACTTCAAAATCAGTGTTCCAAAACACAGAAAGTGACATGTTCATTCCGAACAAATCGCAACCACGAAGACCAAACCCGGCAATTTAGAGCGGCCAACCTTCGTGTTCGGCACGTGAAGTGGCGGTTTCAAGGCGAAGCTGTTAGGAGGGCACGGTCACTTTGAACGGGCACACGTTTCACATCAAAAATACTCCTCTACATTTTGGTTGCTCAAACATTGTTTCTTCATTCATGTACTCCCCATTCTTCTTTGCCCATCCCCATGTCTGGTCGGAGAAATCTCCCTGCGTTTCTTTGCTTCAATTCGAGGAAATTCTGGTGGAATCCCCAACTTCCGCAAACAAAAAAAACGAAACTCACCCACTAATTGGTGCATTTTATATGATTTGATCCCTTAGAGCCATGGGTTTCTCAAGGTTTCTGGGGGCAGCTTCCCCTCACGCCCTGCCGTCCAGCCACTTGTCGCAGGGTGTCAAGAGCTTTTCTCCAGGCCCCGCGGGCTGCGCTTCGATGAAGGTCCAGGCTTCACCTTGCAGCCCTTGGCCCTCGCCCAACCAGATCTCCACCTGAGTCAACAAACCATAGGGATTTTATGGGAAAACAATGGAAAACACGGAGAAAAAGCTGGGTGGCTAAGAGTCAGAAAGGTGAGAAACATGGAGATTGGGAATCGAGATCTGGGATCTGACGCAAAATCAGGGACTATTACCACAGAACGGCGAAATAACCAACAATGGATGCTGGGAATCTCTTTCCATCGAGGTGAGACCACAAGAATGCTGCTGAAACCACCCAGGCACCCAGTTGTGATTGCCATCTTTGTACTTCCCATGCCATGCGGGCGTTCCGACCAACCTGGCTGGGACCCCAACAGAGCGTAAGGCATCCAGGTATAGAATGGAAAGTCCCGTGCAGGATGCGAAACCGAAAGATATGGCACTCATCGAATCGTAGAGCAGTGGAGTCTGCTGCGCTTTGAAGTAAATCGGCTTTTTGGGATTCAGCAAGCGCCACAAGTGCTCGTTTACGAACATCGCCACGTCCCCCAGGCTTTTGGACGGGTCGTCCGACATGTTGAGCGTCTGAAACAGCAAACGTCTCCAGTCAGACCTGAGGGTCACAACCCTAGTACCCAGGAATTCACACCATTTTGATAGCTGATGTTTATGGCTTTTCGCCCACTCACTTGTGGAAAAAATTGGCGGAAAACCATGGAAAATGACCTGACGTGTATGGGTCAAACACCAACCAAAACAGCTGGGTTTTATGGTTCTTAAAGGTTCTTAATCCCCTGAACATGTGGAAAAAATCGAGGTTTCAAGCCAACCCCACCTGGCTTCATTGACGCTGGCATAGGGCAGCACATAATCCCTCCACACCTCCTCTGGCACCTTAGCAGCCCAAGAGAACTTTTGCCGGACCTGTAAGGCCTGCTGAACTGTTGCGGGCAGAATTCCCAGCTTCCTGGAAGTTGCTTCATGAGGAAAAAAAACAAAAACCAGCTTCCACAAATAGTGAACTCTAAAAATCAAAGATTTTAGGAAAATAAAAGACAGAATTACTTACATCAAACCAAAAGAAATGGTGACAAATCTCATAACAATCAACAAACAAAAGAAGCTGAGCTTGAAGCCCTCCAAGAGCTTCAAGTCTTCAAAGTGTGATATCTATACAATTCACAAGCAAATGGGATCAAATGGGGAAATGTCTGAAAAAAAAAGAAAATAGCACCTGACAGCACCTCAACTTAATTCGGACTCCAGGTTTCAAGGTACCCTTGTTGATCACATCCCAGGGTGGCATGTTTTCCTCCAAAAACTTCATGGCCCGTTCCTTGGCTGGGCCCATCTCCTCACAGCCCGTGGGCCCCGTGGGCCATGGCACCTGGCCACCAGGACAGCCGGACCTGCTGGACCTGGCCACCTCCAACGCAGCGCTTTCGATGACGAAAAGCGCCAGCAGAAAGGCCATGGCCACAGAAGTTCAAACGGTTCAACTATTGAAAAAGTAAACGATATGGAGTTCGTGAAGCTGAGCACAGAGCTGCGGGGAAAAAAATGAACAATTCCTGGTGAAAGCATGTGTGAAAGATGAAAGCTGAAATAATCTTGGGAATTTCATACTACCAAAAACCATATTTTTACTGGTAAAAATCTCCTATTTCGCTTAAAACCCCATAGATTTTTAGCAGTTGGTGGCTGGTTGAAGCACCCTCAACCCCTGGGATCCCCACCCGCAAAACGGCGTCCAGCATGCCGCGACCGGCAGCTGCCACGTCAGCTTGCCCTGCAGTGGTGGAGGCCTCAGCACTGGAAAAACCCCCCTCGGATCTCAATGGATTTGTCTGAAATTCTTGGGATAATATTCATTCAAATAGTTATATATATAATATAATAATATATAAATTTGTCTGGTTTAGAAAAATGGGTCTCCCTCATTTCATGGTTTGGAAAAGTTCGGGAAACCTGAGTCCCGACAGGAAACAGTGTATCATTTCATCCATATCCCGTGATCCCTTTGATTGCCGCCATCGCCATGCAACCTGGTCCAACATACAAAGGTGGACCATGGGCAGCAAGGCGCCGCATGCTGATAGTTTTTGACCAGCCACAGATCCAAAGCCCAAGACCTTCTGTTTTGATAGGGAGACCTATTGGTGAAATTTGGTGAACATGTCAGTGTCCAAAGCGGGCAGCACAAATAGGATGCTTTACCAGTGAGGTCGGTCCAACCAATTTTGCGAGGCGATAAATATCTATCAACCCCTGAGGACCTGGCAAGCATCTTGTTCAGCAACGGCGACTCCTTTGAGCGCAGAACTTCGACCCATGTGGAATGACTTGGTGTCCAAATCCAAATCAAATATGTCAGTCAGTCTTGGTTTTAACCAAATTGGATGCGGCAAAAAACATCATTGGGCATTATTTGATTTGACCACCAAATTTTGGGGCTCTTCTTTAAGCAAATCAAAGTTGGAAACGATGCATACCCTCTGGTAAACATACAAAAAGCTATTGAAAATTGCCCATAGAAATAGTTGATTTACCCATTAAAAATGGTGGATCTTTCCAGTTCGCTATGTTAAATGACCAGAGGGTATACCTGGGGATACCCTCTGGTAATGACTAACAGTTTGCTATTGCAAATGGCCATTGATAATTGATTTATTTACTATGAATCATGGTGATTTTCCATAGCTATGTTAGTTTACCAGAGGGTATGCTGGGATATGCAAATCAAAGTTGGAAACGATGCATACATAGAGAGGTTAAAATGGTTCTAAAACCCCCGGTGACATCCCAACAGCATCAGCATCAGCGTTTGGGCATCCCAGCAGCAAGCGATTCGTCACCAGGCTTTCTTGCCTTTGCCAAAAACGGTGGCAGAAGGGAAAAATGCCCTGGATCTTTACACCTGGCATTTCCTCTGGATTCCGCGGAATGATGTTTATTTGATGTTTCCTATGGATTTCCTATGGATTTCCTATGGATTTCCTATGGATTCCTATGAATCTTCCCCAGATTGTTTCCAGACTTATCCTCTATTCTTGTGGAAACAGAGGGACTAGAAACCATGCAAAAACATGTGCAGCAATGCAATGCCCACCGTGCCTCTGTCTCTGGCAGTGACTGTGCCTGATGGTATCTCAAAAGTTCAAAGAAATCACACCATATGTTTGTCAACTCCATTACAGTAAGCCCACGATCAATAAGGCTTTCCAACGAAGATCAACCAATTTGGTCAGAATTTCGCAATGTTTCGCAACGTGCCTCCCCAAGAATTGTAATCTGAATGTCCGTTGATGTAAATTGCTATCCCAACGTATTTTGGTATTCCACAATTCCATAGAATTCCTACTTGCCATCCCAATGTGATCTACCCAAGATGGAGTGCAAGTCGTACTCTGAATTGCCCACCCAACAGGACCCAACAGGAAGGTGACCTCTCGCGCAAAGAGTCGACGAAACACCAGGGCGTGGTCCTCACATGGCGACGCCCGGTGTCAGGAAACGCCAATCTTTACTTGGCAGTTGGTGTTACAAATGGATATAACAATAGTGATAACCTCCATAAGTTGGGATATTACCCCAAGCCTATGCCTATAACTATGGCTATATCTCCGCACCTGGAACAGCACCCCCAAGTACTAGCTGACCCTAATCGATGAAGCAAGGTTTTTAGATCAACCCTAGCCAATCAACAGAAAATCGATGCAAATCAAGTGAAATCACACGGCATGATGATTTCAGTATTTCTGCCCCGTTTTCCTTGTACCTAAAGCTTCGGTGCAAGGCAAAGTATCATAGCAACCGAAAACAAACCATTTAAGGGGAACAAAACTGATACCGTCATTTACTGTACCCTCTGGCTTAGCTTGGAAGCGGAAAATCCATGAAAATCCATCTATCTAAAATGGTTTTCTATGGAAATGTCGTGTTTGTTCACTGCCATTCGAATTTGCCAAAAAGAATAGAACAACCTACTGTATATCTCCCTGTTTCAGCTTAAATCGACAATGGCAGAATCCATATTTGTCGCTGGACAAATCCTCTTTTTTTGGCACCGTTCCCACCGTTCATTGCTCAAACCTCCAATTTTTATAGATCTATAAAATCCTCTTGGAGTTTCCCAACAGAAATCCCCTGTTCAATAGATTGATTCAATTGATTTGTTTACAGTTGAAACCGTGGTTTTATCCTCAAACACTGTACCCATGACCAATCTTTGATACCCAGCAAAAAAATGAATGTTTAGCTGCTTAGGAAATCTCCCTCTATTTATAGCAAAAGATTGAAGTAGTACACTAGCTATCCAAGATTCCGGCCAGATACAAACTATATAAATGTTATTTGTGGGTGCGCTGCATGTTTTCTAATTTTGGTTTATTTTTTTCCAGCGAATCCTGGTGTTTCCAATCCACCCACATGAGCTATTGAAAAAGCCCTATCCCATCTCATTCTACTAGTTGGTTTCTAGGATTCCCTAAGATGGTTTAGTTCAAAATTCCCAATAAATTAGGTAGTACAAGTCCCAACCAATGAACCGATCAACCATGGTATTTATCAACTATATCCCCATATCTTTGATAGTTAAAACCTCATAAACCTCCATAATTCATGGTTAAGTTAAGTCCCAATAAATTCCCCCATCAACCATTGACGTTTATGGAAAATCCACCATTTATTGATTTTCCCAGCCGAAAAACCTCCATTTCTATTGGATGTTCCCAGCTCAAAACCTCAAAACTTATGGTGATTTCACCGCTTCCAGCGCCTGAAATAACCGCAAGGCCGCCCTCCGCGGACCCAGCCGCGTGGCTGCTGCCGTCTGAGAGCGAAGATGGGAAGGTGGTGAGTATTGTCCAAGAAACTTTACTTGTGGAGGTTTAACGGTTTACCATTCAAAAATGTTGACTTTAATGAATTTTCATGGGATTTCATGGTGAGTTAATGAGATTTAATGGTGATTAAATGGTAATACCAGCTGATAATTGTTAGGGTACCCAGAAACACTTGGAAAAACTTGGACATCAGAAACACTTGGATTGCATATGACCCAGCAGCCCACTTACAGTAAAACGACCATGTATCAAGCCAAACACATGAACCTAACATGATGCAGAAACCGATGATCGAACTGAAACTCGGATGCAACCCAGAAAAATCATGTGAAATAACTGGAAAAAATGGATTTAATATGATTTAATAGATTGTTATGGGATATAACCCATAGGATCCATGGTGCTGCTATATATGGTAACATGGATCCCATCAATATACCCCCTTTATGTTAGCATATATACCAGCACCATGGATCCGTCATGGGTAATAGTGATTTAATGGCCAACCTCGGATTCGGAAACGTCGGACCGTCGTTTTTTTATCCGTAATGGAATGGATGTGAATGGGATTTCCGGATGGTTTAACGGGAAATATCATCCACTTGGGGATTGCCAGGGGTATAACTATCTGATTCTAACCTATGGGGTTCAGGACCCAGAAAACTAAAATTGAATCGCAAATTGAAAAAACTGAAGGAAAATTTGTGTGCGGGCTGTTTGCCCAATTTTGTGGTTACCCTTGTAAATTGAGGCTGTTCACCTAACCAGGAAAACGGGAGATTAAAGATGTTCACCAATGAAAATTGGTTTCAATAGAAAAAATTGTTTATACACAGGATGGAATTCAGCGGAAAAAAATGTGAATAGGCATAATATTAACATGTGTAGTTTACCAAAAAAAGGATTTCAACCACAGAATGCAGAATGGGTATCTGAGCAACAATGTTTTTTAAAGTAATGACCAACAAACATTCAGCCAAAAACCACCAAATATGGCAAGTTAACCAACAAAAATGGATCTGACACAGAGTGCATCTTAGTCTTAAACCTCCTAATTGGTGGTATTCCGATTTTGACTCATACCCACCTTTGTACTTGGCAATATTCGGTCAAAGATTGAAGCCTTTGTATCCCAGTGGCTTCCACTCTTTACTTCCAAGAGTTCCCAATTCAGAAACCATGACACCTCATGAATTCCCAAAGATCACAATTTGCCCCTCCGTCCAAGAGTGGCCATGACTCCTACGGATACATGCCAATGCCATGTTCTTTGCTACACGTCCCTATTGAACTACAGAAACGTTTTCTGCGCCTCCGTCAAAGCAACCGAGGTAGCAATGTTGTACAATCTCACCAACCTCAAGCAGAGCTGCCCCAACAAATGACACCCAAAATGGCTAGGGCATATTATTTTTCCCCGAAACCCTTGCGAAGGGTTCCTTCCAAAGAGCGGCTGCCAATACACATGTTCATCATCAATCATCATCATCATCATCGTCATCGTCATCGTCATCATCATCGCCACCATCATCGCCACCATCAACTTCAACAACAACACATCTACAATATCAATATAAAATACCTACAACTTTATATTGGCATGTGTGCAGACTTACACGGCTGAGTAACATCGCGGCATAACATCATCTCATCACTTTCTATCCTAAATATCCTACTAAATTATGGAAGGAACCCATCGCATGTGTGACTTATCTTTGGAAAGACACTTTGCTGCGTATCTCCTGCTTTCCTTTCAGGCCACACTAGTTCTTACCCAGGGTGACATCTGATCTAGTGCCTCATATGGGTTTTTAAATTATGCAACGGAAGTGCAAATCGAATCCCACTGCTCAGGTCCCCAAAAAATATCGGCAACTGTCGGAGGGTAGCATGAGCCCCAAGTGACATAGCCAATTCGATGTGTAGGGTCCACTTACCCACATAATACTGGTTTGTCTGGAAATCGGGGAATACTCCCAATGGCAATTTAAAATAAAATGGAGCAAATGATGATTAGTATTAGCCAAATCCATACTGGTGCCCAACAAATCGCCACCAGGAAATAATACTGGCTCTCAGTTTTACTACTCTGGCAATCAAACATGGCAATAAAAAATACCTCATTTCTGGCTGTGTTTTCCCATTTAAATAGCCACGTTTGAGCAAACCGTCTCAGCAGGCAACTCGTCCTCCGAAAAGCCATCCGCGTGCCGCCGGAGCCTGGGTGATCTCGGCATAAAGATACCAGACTTGACCTACCAATCCCATCCCCGTTCATGTTTTAACTGTTCAACACCCCCCAGAAACCATGCTATTGCAGAAAGGGTAAAATGAATGTAAAATGCCATCCCAATGAAGGACCAGTGATGGGATGTTTATGGGATGTTTACTGTTGTGCAAGAGCAAGAAAAGAGTAAGACATAGTAAGACCCAAATCATCAAACCACATCAATAGGGGCCCGTTTGGTATATAATGTATGATCAGCTACCTATTGGCTGTTGAAGCTGTTGAATGGGGAAAACCCTCTAGCAACCAACCAACAGAAAAAGGACGTCACCACATCAACCGTGTCATTGGTGGATTCCGTGCCAGTCGCCACAAGAGGAAGCGTCACATTCTGGCAGTCAAAACTGGCACTAAAAACCGAGTATTTTTGTGTGTAGGAACATGATCAAATATCGGATCAATATGTGTGCATATATATATATATACATATCGATAAGCAAGTAAGGGCTGTTTGTCCATTGCCAAATTTGGATTTCCAGCAGTGGTCACCAGCCCCGACTCTAGTCACACAAGAAACTCATCACTGGGATGCTGGCAGTATGCTACAAGCCTCCAGCAAACCTGCCACCAATTCCAGGGTGGGCTTGGACGAAGTGGTCTCACCTTGGAACATTCATCGCAGGGTTGTCCAAAAATAGCGTACCCCGAAGTCGCTGTCTCAGATTTTCCAGAGAATGATGGTATACACCTTTTTTGGAGAAGAAAAATGTCATGTTCGTTGGGGATTGATTTTCGCGAAGCAGAGAGAGGAGATTTTAAACCAAAAATATCCAAAAATACCGCAAAATGGATCAACAAGAAGAGGGAAATCCATCAAAGCCAAACGTGGGAACAACTATGGTGGCTGTGTCCAAAAAGTTGTGAACACCAAATCCCCGATGATTTCCGTTTTTCAAGAGAGCATGACGGAAATCACCAGCTCTTTGAATATCTCCCCATCTGTGCTCAGATACTGTCCTGGCAACTATTGTGATGGGAAGCATCATCTTGAGCCATGTAAAAATACCCCTAGCACATCTCATTATACTAGTTGATTGATAGGTTTCCCATTCGTATGGCTTAGCTCATAATCCCCAACAACCGGGTACCCTCTGGTAATTTAACATAGCTATTGAAAATGGTCATAGAAATAGTGGATTTTCCCATTAAAAATGGTGGATCTTTCCATAGCTACGTTAAATTACCAGAGGGTACATCCATTTTCCTATGGTTTTCCTATGGTTTTCCCATTAAAACCTCCATTTTCCTATGGTAAATCACTGTATCTGCAGGGTAAACCTCCATTTTCCTATGGTTTTCCTATGGGTAAACCAATCAACGGCCGGGTGTTTTGAATGGCTCGCGTCATGTTCCACGGCCCCGCCACGAAAGTCAGTTCCTTGGGTCCATTGGGATCTATCCAAAAAACCACCCAAACGTTGACCAACAGAGTTCCGGAAAAACATCCAACAACCACTTGAAGGTAAGGAGGTAAGGCAATTTCACATCCCAAAAATCTGGCTGAATGATAATAATTATTAGTAATTGGTAAGGTTTCACATCCCAAAAATCTGGCTGAATGATAATGATCATTAGATATTATTAGTAATTAGTGATAGTATCTGATAGTAATTCACCAGCCTAAAAATAGCTGAACTAAGGCCATGCAAAGGAGGAATCATTCCCCTCTGTAGCATCGTTCCAGTGGCGTCACCAGACTTCATCCAAATGAAATCACGATTTCAAATAAGTGTTTCCTCCTGAATATCCCAATTTAATCAATATATATATATATACACATCAATATATATCTATATATATATATATCAATATATAATATAATTTAATCTATAATCAATATATATATATAATCACCATTATGATTCGATCCCTTTCTTCTTGGTGAATATGTGACCTTCGCGCCGCTGGGCATCTGGGACGCTGCAGGGTGCCCAGGAGGCGAGTTCGCAGCTCCAGCACCAAACCTATGGGACCTTCACCTGGGCCCAAGGGGTCTAACGGTGTGAACGTTTCATACTGGGCTAACCTCTTCCATCCTGTTCCCAAAAAAAAATGTGGAAAAATGTGGAAAACCTATAGGTGTGGTTGTTTTTTCGGGAAAATGATCTACAAAATGCTGGGTAAAACTGTGATGTAATCGGCCATTTCTTTCAAGAAGATGGATCTTCCCAAGCAACTGTGGAATTGTACCAACCCTTCGTCAAGGCCCACCACAACCTGGTTCTGCAGCCCCTTGTGCCGCACGCGCGTCGGCCAGCACCTGGTCTTTCCGAACAACCAACAGACATGGCAGATGCGCCTTTGAAGGAAGAGAACCAAAGATGGAAAATCAAAATTATGTGAAAAATCCACCATCATCTTGGAAACATCCCCAAGTCTCCAAAACTTGTCAAGTTGAAACATATTCCTCAAGATCTCCAAAAAAATCCGCCAAGTTTTTTGCGGGGTAGGGGATAAAGAATCATCCAAAAAGTCGCATTATTCCAGGCGTCAGTTCCCGAGGCATGGACGGCCAAGACCTTGTGCAGCATGGAACTCTGTCCTGCCGTCAACCGCGAGTGACGCAGTTTCAACCTCTGCAGGGCACTGGACACCCAGAAGGATGCGGGAAATGAGACAAGAATGGAGGAGACAAAAATGGAAGCTGAACCTCACTGGAGGATGTCATCAAGAATAGCTATTTCGTCAGAGAAAGGTGTAATTTCACCAGCAGAAATGGCGACTTAGCCCAGTAAAAGACATGTGTCAAGCAACAAAAATCGGACACATTCACCAATATCGGGCATCAACTTCATTTCCCATAGAATGTCTCAAGGAAAAAGGAAGAAATACGGAATTCTTGTCCAACTTGGGGATTGTTCCCCTTGCTGATCATCATTTCTCGAGAGAGATTGCTTGAGGTCCTGTTTTGATTGTGACAGTGCAGCAACCATTTGCCAAGTTGCCGGTCTGGTTTCCACAGGAGAATCCCAGCATTGGTTTTCACGGGAAATCTGTAGGAAACCCCGATGAATTTGATGGCAAAAAGGCGCAGTGTTTACAGCTCGAGCTGTTTTCATGTCACACTCCCGACTTTTTTGGCCAGTTGTTACCAGTCGCCCAATGGTACCTTAAGATGGGAAAATGCCAAGGCTCATATGGCAGTGTGTCAAAACCTTGTACCCCTGGTGAACATCAAAATAGCTGGTAAATGGATGTTCATCCCATTAAAAATGGTATTAATAGGTATTGATCCATAGCCATATGGATAATCCAGCTTTGTTACCCCCAATGACCCAATGTCTCGGAAGGTGAGTTGGGAGCTCCAGTTGAGCTTCCAGGCTCTCGCAGAAGCTCATCACCTCGGCAGCTGGCCATGAGGTCATCCAACTCGCCATGGTCCGTCGTCGTCGTCGTCGTCGTCATCATCATGAACATAATCATATTAACGTCATCTTAACATCATCTTAACATCATCTTAACATCATCCATTTAACATTATCATATTAACATCATCTTAACATTATGATCTTGCCATAATGATCTTAACATCATCCATGAAACATCATCAATTTAACATCTTAACATTATCATCTTAACATAATTGTCTTATCATCATCAATTTAACATCATTTAACATCATCAATTTAACACTATCATATTGACATGTTAACATCATCAATTCAAGATCATCTTAACATACTAATCTTAAAAAGTTCATCTTAACATCATAATCTTAAGTGTTCATCTTAACAGCATCATATTAAAAATATTTAAAAATGCATCTTAACATCATCATCTTAAATGTTCATCTTAACATCATCATATTAACATCATCATCTTAACATTTTCATCTTAACATCATCATCTTGAATGTTCATCTTAAATGTTCATCTTAGTGTCATGATCTTAGCATTATCGCCTTAGCATTATCACCTTAACCTTATCATCTTAACGTTATCATTATCCGTACGATCAGTACTATTGTTACAATCTATATTATTATGCCCCTTCATCTATCAACTGTTTTTAAGACCTCCTCACTACTTGAGACCAGCTGCCCAAAGACGAAGAAGGCAGCGGCATGTTGGGAACCTCCAGGGCATTGAGCCTCAGCACAAGAGGACCGATGGCTGAAGTTGTTGCTTGACCACAAACATAAAAACCGCAAGAGTTGGGTTTGAAAATGCAAATTTAACTGGCAGGAAAGATGAATTTGCCACTGGAAAATAGCACACCTTTGGGTGTTCCATATCAATGTTTTTGGTGTATATGTTTTTTTCCAAAGCGGTGCTTTGATCAACTGAGTCACTGACAAGCAATTCAAAGCATTGAGGCCGACCTGCTGCGATGAAGGGCCCACGGCCGATCCATAGATTAGAACCACTTCAGACACCGAGACCTTGTAGGAACAGTAGGAACATGGCCAAGTAGCCAACATCTCAAAATCAAGGAATCCATCAGGTAGGGCCAGGTAGGGTGAAACACGTGTGAAACTTCATTGCAGTCCACGTCTTTTGTCCCTATTGATCATTCACTTCTCGCACTTCACAAGTACCCCTTCGGTTGCGGCCAGACATGGAGTCAATCGCTGCTTTCGATCAAAGGGCCCCTTTTTGATCCCCAAGGCAATGTCACGTGAATCACCAAAATGCCAAGCCCTCATAATTCGCAACCTCTTCAAACCTGGAGCAAAATCCCATGGATCACTTGGATTAGACACTAAAAATTGGCATCGGACCCAACCACCTTGTTGTCGGTGTCATTCTTGAAAATGCCGAGACCTGCCAGCAACAGATCAAAACAACCACAAAAATTCCAGCTGACCATCAGCCCAATGATGTTCGGTAGACATATACATATACATATACATATACATATACATATACACATATACACATATACACATATATACATATATACATATATACATATATACATATATACATATATACATATATACATATATACATAATTGATAATAATTGAATACATCATCTGTATATATATATATTATTATATATATAGGTAGGATACGATAGGATACGATAGGATAGATAGATAGATACCGCGGTTTGTATCAGAATCCTTACTGGTTCTATCTTACGCCACCCCCAACTAGGACGACCACCCCCACTGCGCAGCTGGTAAGTAAGGTACCATGGATAAACTTCACTACAACTCAGTGTGGGTACCCAAGAATGAGATGCTTTACTATTCAGACCGAAATTGTGCCCTCTGGCCTTTACTTTATATCATTTATATCTATATGAATCTATATGGTCTATATATTAATTAGGTTGGCTCAATCACCATCTTTCTTACATGTGCTTGTTGGACAGCCGTCTCTATATTTGGTCAAATGTTGGTCCCCAAATATAGATGTGTCCAAAAATCGTCCCCAAATCATTGCCAGTTTATTTTCGGAAAAAGACATGTTCTCAACCACCAATGTTGTGTTTTTTCTCAAAATCTTCAAACAACCCTAAGAAATCAGATTAGTGGAATATCATGGGAATTAGTGGAATGTCATTTAAACATTTATGGGAATGTCATGATATTCTTGGCTTTAAAAAACCCATGACATTCCACTAATTCCGGTGGAAAATCCCCATTTTGCTGGCAAAACCCCCCCGAAAATCATGGGACTTTGGGATCCCTCACAGGCTTGCGCCACGAAGGCGCAACGGCGGGTCAACACTGCAGCAGCGGCTCGGCTGGAACCTTCGGAGACGTTTCTGGCTGCAACTACCCGGCCTGGCAAACAGCCACATAACTATGGAAAGATCCACCCATTTTGAATGGTAATTCCACTATTTCTATGGCCATTTTCAATAGCCCAGAGGCTATTGTTGATGGTTCATAAGGGTTCATAATTGTTCATAAAGATGGTTCATCATGGTTAAAAGCCATGGTTCATGATAATGGTTCATTATAGTTATAGTGGTTAATGATGGATGAAGATCGGAAATTGCCAGAAATGGCAAAATGATGCTCTCAACGAACCAGAATTCGGGGGATTTGAAGGATTTGAGCAACAAAAACCTGTGGATTTTGTCATCATCGAAGATCAACTAAAGCGAATAGCAAAATGACTGGAATGAATCTTCGGGGATTCCATCGAACCCGAATGGCCAGGCGTGCAGACGCTTCAGCCCTCCCGAGCGTCTTGGGGCTCCACCATATAGGTCCAGAAAGCGTGCACACGCTTCGACGGAATATCGACCTTTGGATCTGGCCAGTGGGTACAGCTGTGCCGGGAACATCAAATGAACTTGCAGCAAAAAAATGCCAGCTGTGTCCAGCTATGGTGCAACATCCAGGGTACCAGGATTGTGACCCATACCCATCTCTTTGTTTAGATCCCTAAAAAGGCACTTTTGAAATGGCTGTGGGTCGTTTCATGTTGTGGTGTTGTTTCACACCGTAATTACAGTGAATATATTTGGGTTATTTGCCCCAACTTTTTCACGGGAAAGTTTGGACAGTTTCGCAAGCCAAATTCGCATCTGTACTTGCACGGAGTCCGTAGACTCACTGCGGCTGAGGGATCAGCGTGCAACTACACGGGCACTGCTATTGTCTTGGCCTGCGCGAGTGGAGACTCATATGCCAAGCACAACAACAAGTTGTGTGCCGCTTCACACCGTGACTTGCATCAACCCTGCAGACAGGTAATGTCTAAAAGCTATCATCCGTTGGATTCCTAGTCTCCCCAATTTTCACTTTCAAGAAACCCCGATGGGCCGGGCATTGTAAAAGTCGCTGTACCCTGCTCTTCCATTTCTGTAGTGAACCTGCTCTAGGCCACCGAAAATCACGAAAAATCCGCGTGGCACTTCCTTTTTCAGGCGATTCCAAGGGGTCTCTGCGTGTCGAAGTGCAACAGGACCTGCCCGAGCCATGCCCAACAAGTCCCTTACTCCTGGGGTTCATCCATTTTGAGACGGGCACTTTGCTTGGATCATTCATGAGTGGACCCAGATTGGCACGAATCATCGCAGCCGTTTTCATGGCAACTGATGAAGATTTGAGTCTCCCCAACTGCGGGATCTGCCACGCCATTCGCCGCATTCCACCCCATGTGCATTCCATGTTTCAACGGCCTCTGCAATGGACGAGGAACAACCAAGGCAGCACCGCTGCCTCAAGCACGCAGGCCATGTTCGCAGTGGTGCTGGGACACTTTGAGCGGTTTCAAGGATCAACCACAGCGTCTGCGCAGTGCAGCTTTTTCCACGCTGACGGTCAGGTCCGGGATGTCTTTTCGAATCAATTGAGGGACCACTGTACTCGGACAATTGATGGGATCACAGGCTCACTGCTTTACAAATGAGCACAGGCAAAGTGCACGTTCTTACAAGGTGCCCAAGGCACCTGGAAGATTTGCGGCTGCGTCTGAGTCAAAATGTTGCTGCGCCAGGGCAACATTAGCAACCAAAAATCTGTGATACAAGAGGTGTTCCGAGAATTCCTTTTTCAGAGGGACTCCTCCCAGAAAATTTTGACTCATGGCTTGACCATGCCCCGATTTCACCGGACTCCTCAACTTGGTGTCGGTGAAGCGGCTTTGGACGGAGACGATGGCAGAGACGGGGTAGACGCCTCTTTCTTCGGTTTTGCCTTGGCTTTCTCAACTGGGACTGGAGCAGATTGGCAGGGTTCCATGGATTTCCATGGATTTCCATGGATTTCCTGTAAATATTCACATTTGGTGGGATTAAGCAATATTTTGATCCATGTTTTCTCTCAATCTCATAAAATATCAAACCTATGCCTCGCAAAGTGTACCTACATTGTCCTGAACTTGTGAGTTCAAGTCCCAAAAATGGAAAGCAAGTATGGTGATAATTCAAGTTTCCAACGTTTTTGCAGGGAACACGTTGGCGACAGACTGAAGCAACAGAATCTCTATTAAAAGGTCGGTTGAGTCAACATGCAGAATTTGGAGCCTAAAGTTTATTTAGAGACCCAACCCAATTTCCTGGAGCCTTCACAAACCAGCTATAAGTTTTGCCCCATAACTGCTCATTTGAAGGGCTCACAAGTGTGCGTTTCAAGTCCAAGTTGCGGCAAACTCGTCCATCTGTTTCATGACTGCAAAAAAGAACTCGGCTTCCTGCTTGCCAATATGTCCAATAGGAGAACTTTGAGTTTTTTCTTGAAGAACTGTATATAGCAACTCATCGCAAGAAGTGGTATCAACATATGAGCAACTTCGTTGTGAACACTACCTCCCATGCGTACATGAAGTTGCTATGACCCCTGGGACTTCAACCTCTTCTCACCACTACAAGCATTGACATCAACATCACGGTCTTTGTTCGTCTTCATCCTCGTCCTCGTCCTCCTCTTCCTCATCATCGTCATCGTCGTCGCCGTCGTCGTCGTTGTCCCCGTCGTCGTCGTTGTCGCTGCCGCCGTCGTCGTCGTCGCTGCCGTCGTCGCTGCCGTCGTTGCCGCTGCCGCCGGCGGCGTCGTCGTCCTCGTCCTCGTCCTCGTCGTCGTCGTCCTCCTCCTCCTCCTCATCATCATCATCATCATCCTTCTTTGCGATCCAAGTCTCTACGACCAAACAAATGGCACAGAGACCCCAAGAGCTTAGTTGACTCACTGAGGATCATCCCAACTCCACTGGTTTGGAGCCGCGAATGAATGTTTGATAAGACGGATCTTGGTATTTGGGGCTATATCACCATGCTATATTGGTCAAGTCGAGTCACAAGGGACGTTGTTTAAAACCCCAAGTCCTCTTTGTTGAACACGCCAAGTGTTGCAAAAAATTGCAGTTTTGGCTCCTCAAAATCCAATTTTAAAGCCCAATTCTTTTCTGAAGTATCCCTTTCGTCTTGATCAAGAAGTCCTTTCTGTGTGGTGCCTTTATATACATATACATATATATATATATATATACATATACATATATATATATACATATATACATATATATATATACATATATATATATATATACATATATATATACACATATATATACATATATACACATATATACACATATATACACATATATACACATATATACACATATATACATATATACATATATACATATATACATATATACATATATACATATATACATATATACATATATACATATATACATATATACATATATACATATATACATATATACATATATACATATGTACATATGTACATATATACATATATACATATATACACATATATACACATATATACATATATACATATGTACATATGTACATATATACATATATACATATATACATATATATATAAATAAACCGTTGCAGTTGGCTAAAACCCTATTCTTTTGGAGTTTTTGCGTTAATGTGGTAAACCAAATGATAAACCATTCCCAGCATGACGATGATGGATCTTCTGAATCATCCGCAAATGGTAGCTGTTTATGACATTGGGTTTACCACATTTGTTCAGATATGGTATATGGTTGATGATCTCATCCCTGATTAATGCTCAATGGTTTATCCCCATTGTGTTGCCCAAAATCCCCAAATTTCAGATCCTCCAAGCCAGTTCCGGTCCTCTGTGAGTCGTTTTGACTCAACCTCCACTTCCAGTCCGCCCATCTCACGGAGCTGTTTCGTCATGGAGTCCTTGGAATCTGACGAAAATGCATCAAAAATGGGAACGACCTGGAAGGAAAAGCAAAAGGAAGAGAATGGGAAGGCCCTGGAATTCCCATGTGAATGGTTTTTGGGTGAATCTCAGTGTTTTTGAGCATCGAATATGTGAATGCGGCCATCCAAAGTGGGAGTTTGACGATCGAAACATGCGAATGAATCCACAAAAAATGGAATGTTTACAGTTTGTCAAAACTCAAGAGCCATAAAAACATGGTTTCTGGAGAGAGGCTACTGCAGAGGTACGGTGCAACGGTGCTATGGTTTGGTACGGGGTACGGTACAAGGGTACGATGGGCAGGGTACAGGTGTACAGTGGGTGTGGTACTGAGGCACGAGTCGTACGGTGCAAGGGTACGGGTAGTACGACTGGTGGTACGATACAAGAGCACGGGTGGTACCAAACCTGTACTCCACCGTACCCACAAGCCCGTACACCCCAAAAAAACACAAGAACAGCCAATTTTGGAAAATTGGTTGTTTTGTATTTAATTTGCTTGTGTTTTTTTTCGGGGTGCGGGTTTGTGGGTACGAGGGGTGCGGGTTTGGTACCACCCGTGCTCTTACCACCCGTATCCTTGTACCGTAGCAACCGTACTCTTGTACAGTATCAACCGTACCATCGCACTGTACCACCCGTACCCTTGCACTCTCCTACACATACCCTTGTACTGTACCACCCGCGCCTCCCTGCCGTACCCACTTTTGACATACCCTCCAACGCATGGTTTTTCAGCTTAGACAAACTATTCTGATATTATTTCGAAAGCACTTCGGCGATTCATGCGGATGCATCGGATGATGGCAAACCCCTGAACGAAGGGCCCGAAAAAGGCAACCAACAAGTACCCTGTTCAACCATGGGTGCGTTTATATTTAATTTTCATCTAGATTGTCTTCCAAAAAAGTGGCTAGGCAACGCATGGAAGCTCAAGAGAGCAACAGCGCAAGCAACTCCTGAAGAGTTCAACCACAAGCAGAACGGCAGTGGTGACACGAACGAACAACGAGTGACGCAAGTGTACGTCTCGGACGACGAACATCAACCGAAGAAGCAACGAAGCGCAAGCCAGAGACAGTGGCAAGACCTCTGCAGGGAACTAGAGAGGTACAAGCCAAGTGCACGGAAGAGTTGAGTCTATGGATAGGTCTTTATTTTTGCAAACCCATAATTTCATGGATGTGCTTACGGAAAAAGATGTACACCACGCCAACGTGCAAAAGAATGATGAGCCTTCATCTGCCCATGTCTAGGCAATTTGAAACGCTGCGAAGCATTCTTCAGCGTGAAATTGTGAAAGAAAACGTAGACCCTGAAACCAAACTGGGGTTTACTCAGCATGCTGCCTTTTTTCCCGGACTTTTTGTATATCTATTCAATTTTGTTCCCAGAATTTGTTGTCCATTATACCCAATATCCCAATGATCAACACATGTTTGCTGAGGTTAAATCCCCATTTTCGCTGGTCAAAAGTATGATTTTTCTGGCCAGCCACATGTTTGCTGCACAAGACACTCATTCTTAATTTGGGGGTTCCACTACCCCAACAGTACCGCAAAAAAAAAAACAGCTCGTTGCTGGAGTTTGCCAGGAGCATCAACTGCGGCGATGGATATTCTGAGTGTTGGGTCCAACTCCAAAAAAGTTCATGTGGCGACAATCATAAGTCCCGGGCGTTTTTTTGCTTGAATCCTTACCCTTACAAGGGTGTTTTACATTGAATACACCAACTAGAGTTTTTTTTGTTGGTTGACCATAGGGGGCTACCAGTCCTTGTCCTTTGGTGAATTCCCAGATGCGGCAGAACAAACAGGGCTAGGTGGGAAATCTTCTATAAGTGGGCATTTAAATATGAAAACCATCTGTAGATAGGGATTGTTTCCATTGTCATGATTGATAAACAGAGGTTATAGGTTATAAGCAAGGATGCAGGGTGCTATCAGTGATTAGTTGGCTCTGGAGCCACTGGCTGGTTCCCACACATTGAACGACAGATTGTGGATCGTTTTGGATGTCCCCAAGCTTTTGGGTCAATATCAGACACTTCCTCATCCTACTACAAGAGGCTTCTAGCCAATTCATGCCAATTCCACATAGACACAAGCTACAACCCCGATTTAAAATAATGTGAAACTAAAGTCCATGTGGGAAAGACAGTAATGGCCGGGAAAAAAAAGAGAAATTGTCTCTGTACTGCTTCAGATGGGTTTTCCGTTGCGATCTCTTTCAAGAAAAGTGTAATCTCCCAAAAGGCTACTGTAAGCTACTCATCCCCAACAAATTTGGTTGACCCACTTACACCTGGCTCATCCGAACACTGAACAAACCTTTGGTCGTTTCCTTCTACTGGTTTGTTTAGGACTAGCTTCCCAGTTCGTGGATAATAGTCATTTCCATCAAACGGGTTGGCACAGCCTTCAATGACCATTATTTCAGCTGGTGTAAATAAGGAAAAATAAAAAATGCGGGAAACAAATCTGTTGGGATGTACCAACTGGAATTTCAGTTTCCACAAGCTACAGATCCTGCCCACTTCCCATAAGGGCCTCCATCAAGTCCAGATCCTGGGTGTGGACCCCAGGATTTAGGAGGTAATTTCAATAGGAAATGATAAGAAACCAGGGTTTAGTTTCGGGGCACCCCTTTTTGCCCCCAAATCAAGTTATTTTTTGAATTGCATAATGGCCAGCTCTTTGCTTGTAGTTTCGCTAATTTGTTGTTCGATTGAGCACACAACTGATTTGAGCAAGCCACACCGAGGCTCGCACGGGACACAGCGCCTTCAGCACCTTTTTGAGTTTCTTGCATTGAGAACACTCCTGGCGAAGATCGGTGTTCATCCAACAAACAGCCAACTGACTCACTCGAAAAGAGAAGCTGATGGGTGGTAGGAGTCCCCTTTTCGGAAAGGCCGACGTTACAATCAAGATAAACAATATCGGTCAATGCAGTTGCAATCCCCTGACCAACCAGGCCCAGGACCCTTGGATCATAGTGCCCCGGGCTTTCCATCGCTGGATGTATGGGGAACTTAACGATAGTTTATGGGTTTAAAAACCAACTTACCACTGGGGCACGGGGGAGGCCTCACAAATTGCAGCATTGCAATAAGTCACCAACCTAAAGGGTTCTCCATTTTGAGGGATATACATACATCTATATACCCTTAGATTCAGAATTTGATTGGTTCGACGCCCGAATCATATGGTTTCGGAACCTCTTAGACTCTTAGGGTAACCAAATAGCCTAAGCGTGTATTTCAAAAGGCTTGGGTATTTGTCGCCATGTACTCGAATTATGCAACCACAGCAATGTTGGGGGTGGAAAGCATTCGCGGTTTTCCAAGAATCTGGGGATGGCCTGATGGCATGGGATAACCGTGAATTTGGCATCTCCGATTTTGTTGACATGGTTGCAATGTGTTGTAATCATGAACGGGAACTCAGTAGTTTTGACCAATGCCGCTGTGCCATTGACGTTTTGGTCTAATTCTACAGTCGATCAGTACCTCCCCTTTCTCTGCCAGGTGCTGCAAAAACTGAGCGATTTTTTGTTTAGAAAGTAAGCACCCACAATTCCAATGGATTATCCTCATATTCCCTGTTAACATTGCCAGGGGGGTATCCCATTTTCAGACAAACCCAAAAGTTGGACCATGTTGTCGATGTTTTCCTGGTTTCTTCCGCATAGAGGTTTTGATTTTGCAGTAGTTTTATCGTCATGGTTGTGTCCAAAGATCCCAGTCTCCTCATTGCAAGCTTGGCCGGCCACTTGGTCTTCGGCCATTGGGATCAACGCCCCGCGTTCGATCGCGGTCCCACCAACGCGGCTGTACCGTGGATTTTTTTTGCATTGAGAACACTCCTGGCGAAGATCGGTGTCCAACAAACAGCCAACTGACTCACTCGAAAAGAGAAGCTGATGGGTGGTAGCAGTCCCTTTTGGGAAAGGCCGACGTTACAATCAACCAGGACCCCAGGGGGATTCATCTAGACGGCAAACATGCCAAGAGCACTGGAGCTGCTGGATCATCGGTCTCAGCTGGAGCTTCAGCTGCTGTTTGAATCTCCTGCCAACGTGCCAACCACCTACTTTGCGGGATGCAAATGGGATGTACATGATATCCAACATGTGTGTATATAAATATACCTGAGAAGATTGAGAAGGGGGGGGACGAAAGCCAGCCTCCAGACAAATGCTCAGGCGGTCTTTTTTTCACCGCTCGCACGGCCACAGTCTGTGCAGCTCGGGTCCCAGTGAGCCGCGCGGCGTGCGCACCCAAATCAGAGCCCCCCCCCCCCCCCCCCACACCCCCTAGATTAGCTTCCCGTCGCTTCGCTTACACCTACCATGCTACCATGACGCGTTTCTCTCATTACCTCGAGAAAGATTCAGGCCCCAAGCAGGTCAGCCATTCCACGGGTCTCTTCGATTACAGTGCCACATCGTTGAACCCAAACGCAAAATTTGTCCGGGGTCCGGGGTCCTTGCTGGGCATGTACGGCGTTAGAAGATGCGACCCTTAACCGTCGAAATATCATTCAGAAAGAAAAACAAAACCAATGAAACAAAATAGGAACAAACAACACGCGGACGAAAATTCACACACAGACGCACAGACCAGTGTACATACAAACCTCGTTACACGGAATCACGGTTTCACACAAACCCTTTTATACACAAACATCTTCGCACAGAGACGCTTTTACAGACAGACGCTTTTGCACACAGACCCTTTTATACACAAACACCTTTACACAAACATGCTTTTACACAGACCCTGTTACACACAGACACTTGTACAGAGACACTTTTACACACAGGCCCTTTGACATACAGACGCTGTTTCACACAGACCCTTTTACACACAGACCCTTTTACACACAAAAATTTCAACACACAGACCATTTTACACACAAACATCTTGACACAAAGGCGCTTTTACACAGGAACCTTTTACACACAAACATCT